TTTGATGTCTGTTTTTACCATTTGTACACTGGCAGGAGTGCTAGCAACTTCGAAGATATGTATGATAAGATTATTCTCCTGAACAGATAAGTTTCTGTCAAGATAAAGGCTAAGGAAGTTCCTGGAGACAGGAAATAAAAAGTGCAAACTGATCAAGAGATGAAATTAAATCTTTCTTCAGGTTATGGGATTTTTTTTCTTAGTTCTGTTTTGTCTATGAAAATGTGTGAAGCAAATTTGCAGGAGAGATTTTTTAAAAAGGGAAAGAAGGAAAAATATTTCAGTTATATAGATTAGTATGGAAATGAGCATAAAAGGATGCTATGAAGAGCAGAAATGTAAAACCAGGGAGAACAAAAGGATGAAAGAATTAGTGTGGAGACATATGAGTAGAGGACCAGAGGCAGAAGAATGCACAGAACTTGATGAACATCTCTGGTGCCCCATGACTACTTATTACACTGGCATCTCTGCAGTATTTCACTCTTCCTTATTCAGGTACCTTCAGATTTCATTCCTAATTATTTGCCATTTTTTTGTGTTCTAAGGGCCTTGAGCTTTTTTTTTTTTTTCTGCGTCAATGAAAGAACTAAATCAGATATATTAACAGTGCTTACTTTGGACAAGCTGTAAAACAGACATCAGTCATGAGACATGATTAACTACAGTTTTATTTCTTCATCAAATCCCAAGAGTAGTCGAGACATCTTCTGTAACTGCTACCTCCATGTGCTAGAGTTAAATGTATACCCTGGAAAGGTTAAAATAATCTATATTCTTGTTAACACAATAGTATATCCTAAATGAAATAGTTATCTCAAAGCACTCTGTAATTACATGTAAGTTTTTATCCTAATTGTTCATCCTTATTTTGGCCTTTCCTTTCTGATGAGCTTCTTACCCAGAACTTAGCACAGGCAACATCTTTTGTCAGAGAAGTCCTTAAGGAGGTTGAGCTCTACTCAGCTGACTGAAAAATGAAGCCTGTTGCACAGAGAAACATGCTGGGGATAGTTTCCTAGCATATAGCTGGGGGGGGAAGATTATGGCTGAGTGGGGAAATGCAACCTAACTCGTATTGGCAGAGGGGAGAGAGACCCGTTCTGAACCTTCTTCTGTTTTCTGGAATTTATCCCAGAGGTAGCTTGGAATGTGCTGGCATTTCCATGGGTTTGTCTGCCTGTGTGGAGTATCTGTTTCCACGTGTTTTAATTTGGATTGTGCAACTCCTTGATGGGCATGTCTTGAGTTTTCTCCTCTGTTAGAGATGATGGGTTTTTTTTGCTACAACACCGTCCTGACTCTCATAGCAGCAGTCTACACGGTGACTCTAGTTGGATTCTGATGGGCCCTGAAACGTGCACTATTGGGGTTACTATTTATTTTGTAAATATTGTGTGCTAATTCCTGAAAAGTATGTAAAAGGACACTTCCTGAAGCAATATTTTTAAGCTTTTTAATAATTTAAAAATACCTTAGTGAACATTCTATGGAAAAAATAGATATGGTATTACTTACTAAGTGTTTATTTGCCATCTGTCTTATTTATCTTGCTTGATATTAGGATAAATATGCTGAATAATTATCACAACGGTTGAATAATGCTGAAAGTTTCTGCACTGCTCACTTCAACTATCTTTACAAGTCCTTGTAGGCTCCACAAATGTTGCTGGTTCCCTCCCCACATCATGGGTTTGTTTTCCTAAGAAGTGCTACCTAGGAATCTGCTCAATTAATAAGTAGCATTAAGCCTAATGCTTGTTGCCAATAATAAAACTGCTTTCCTATTAAATATGCACTCATATCTCTCACTTACTTGAATAGCCACTCTTGTTGCTGAGTTTGAGAATTTTTTTATAGTCTGTTTAAAATTCAGAATTACTCCTGAAATGCAGTGTTTACAGGAGCTGAGCATGACAAATAGCTTGAAGCCTTTCATAAACACTATGTGTACATTTGGTGGAAGTCATTAATAGCTTGCATTGGTTTTATGTTAATATTACTCCACTTACTAGTGTGGAAATACTATGGATTTGTACTGGTAGATTAAGAGGAAAACTAGGCTTCATATCTGAGCAGAATCCATGATGTGCCTCTGCCTTACTGCAGAAGGTTGCAGTGTTGATGGTGAAGAATGGAGGCTGCTAAATGGGATCTTATTTTGTGTGGTGGGTTGACCCTGGCTGCTTGCCAGGTGCCCACCAAGCTGCTCTATCCCTCCTCCTCAGCAGGAGAGCTGGGGAGAAAATAAGATGGAAAAAACCCATGAGTCAAGATAAAGGCAGTTTAATAAAGCAAAAGCAAAGGCTGCATGCAGAAGAAAAAGTAAACAAATGATTTATTCTCTATTTCCCATCAGCAGGTGATATCCAGCCACTTTCCAGGAAGTAGAGTTTCAGGCTTCAGTACACATAGCAGTTGCTCCAGAAGACAAATGTAATGACAAATGCTCCCTCTCCTCCTCCTTTCTCCTAGTGTTTATTGCTGAGTAGTCATCATATGGTATGGAATATCCTTTTGGTCAGTTTGGGTCATCTCTCCTGGCTATGTCCCCTCCCAAGATGTTGCCCACCCATAGCCTACTGGGTGAGTGGAGGAATGTTGGAGACATTCATGCTCTGTGAGCCTTGCTCAGCAGTAGCCAAAACGCTGGTGTGTTAACAACACCTTTCTAGCTACCAATACAAAGCACAGCACTCTGAGGACTGCTATGGAGAAAATTAACTCCATCTCAGCCAGACCCAATATATTTAGTCACAGTAATGATATCATTGTCATCCATGGGGATCTGGGATGTTGTATATTGGGTCCTAAAGCATTGCCCCAAGGACAGTCAAAGAAACACAGTGTTGCTGGGGTTGGCTCCATCTGTGGAAGACATGCTGACAGGATGCACTGGGCAACTGCACAACGAAAGCTGTGTCTGTTGCTTCTGCTAATGAAGTATCCCCTTACTGCTCAAATATGCACCTGTTCATGTGTCACTGAATAATACACATGCAACTGCATGTCTCCAATGACATCTAGGGATTTAAAATTTTCTTAAAGAGAAAGCAATCCCCTTCCCAACAAAGCCTGAAATAAAAGTCCTTTTGCAGGTTGATTTTGTTGTGCTTTTTTTTCCTTTTCTTTTTGCATCTTGTTTTATTTTTAGTTATGGTTTTCTAGGAAGTGAGATTTATGTGCCTTCTAGCTCCCTGTTAACAGATACATACAGATAAGTTATTAATCAGTACAAGGAACTGCAGAACTGTAATGTCTTGGCTTGGTAGTATTTCCGTAATGTGCCTGTGTAAACAAAATTCTTCAGCAGTGACGGTTCCCAGGCCATTTTGGAAAGCTGAATGAAGAAGTACTGACTTATCAAATTCCTTTTCTGTGTTTGCAGGTCACTTGTCGCCTCTGTAAGTTTTCCGGCACAAGCCCCTGAATTTACAACCTGCAGACTAGTGCTGACCGTGTCAGAGGCACTTCAAAGCATACTTTAGTTTGCTTAGAGCAAATGTTGTTAGCTTTAAGTCCTGGATAAAATTCAATGCTCTTGAACAATTGTTCACTGCAGGACATTGAATAATACCTATTATTTTATTATAAGCATTTCAAAAGTGAGAAGTTCTGGAGGATTGGCTTTCTTCGGTGGTATTTCTAATCATTGTAGTTTGTAAGCAACTGTGCAATTTGGCACCAACAGGCCCCTATGGTCTAATCTAATAAAAGTTAAAGTTCTTCATATGTTCAAGGTCACATAAGGAATATTATGTGATGTGTGCTCTTGCTGAAATGAGCTCACCTCATTTCACTTGAAAAACAACTGAAAGAACCAGATGTCAGCAAGATAAGTCATTTTGGCTTTCCAGGAAGAAGCACAATCTTTTCTGGATCTTGACAGCATCTTCAAACCTAGAGTTGAAGTTGGTTTTGATACAGGGGATTTTTGACATAATAGCTTCTGACCTTAAATGATAGTGGAGAGAAAAGCATATAAGTTTAATGACATCTTCTGCCTGGAAGTGATTATAGACTTTTATAAAGCTCATATTTACATACTGGGTTTGGAACCAAGTAAGCTTGCTTTGCTTTGCTTTGAATTTCTGCTCGTATGGTGTCTGTTCCCATTTGTTGTGATACAGTTTGATTGAGAGACTGGGAAATGATTCTTCCAAAGTAATAGTAACACGTGGTTGTGGGAGTTTCACTAAACAGTATTAAGTATGCTTCTCAAAGCAACCCCTTCTTGTAGAAAGCACTTACAATGTCACTTATGGTTCACAAAAAATGTTCAGAATGTTGTATTTCCTATTGAGTGTGTTTTTATTAGGCAGATCCTTCAATGAAGAGTTGGTAGAAGTGCATAAACGAAACCAGATCTCTCCCTTCCTGGAAGAGTTGGGTTTTTTTCCCAGCAGCTATGTTTAGCAATATACTAGTATGATTGCTCAGTAAAAATCATAGTTAACTTGGTCAGTTAATTAAGACAGCTCTGATTTACGCTGCTGCAACAAAAAAAAAAAAAATTTTACTGATTTCAGCTAGAAATGTTGGATGGCTATTTTGGCTTTGCTGCATGACCTGTACATTTCATAAATGGCACAGCAGAATATACTGAAATTGACAGCTTACAACTACATCACAATATTGCTTTTGAGAGGATTTTTCTTAGTAGAGTCTGTGTGTATGTGGACATGCCTGTACTATAGTGGTCGTTTGAACAGCAAGGAGAATGACATTACCATACATCTCCTCAGCACACCTCTTATCCTCAGGGCCTTGTTAGCAACAAAATTTGCAATGTGGATGTACAACCATAACAACTGTAGCAGAATATCCAAGGACATTGTTTTCCTAAATAATCTACACAGAAGTGACCTTCAGCATACCAGTGTTTGAAGAAGTTTGGACTCCTTCCTTGTTCTCCTTGATTCCACCACCCCTCACCCCCCTTGCCCCAGCCCCCATATTCTGGTTTCAGTAGACTAATAATGAAATCCTTTGTTTTGCAGACAAGAAGCCCAAAGCTGTCTCAGAGCCCACAGCCCAATCTGAGTGACCAGACTGAACACCTCTCTGAAGCATCTGCCGATTCCTTAGAGGCCATGTCTGAGGGTGATTCTCCAACCCCCTTTTCGAGGGGCAGCCGCACGCGGGCGAGTCTTCCTGTTGTGCGGTCAGCAAACCAAACAAAGGAAAGATCACTGGGTAAGAGCCTGTTTCAGACCTTCTCTGCTTTTCTCTTAGCTTGTGTTTTCCATTTTTGGATTTAAAACTGTATTTAAATTGTTTGGAATTAAAAATAAAAATTAAAGGCTTTGGTAGCACATAATTTTTCATGCGTATTTAAATTGTTTGGAATTAAAAATTATAGGCTTTGGTAGCACATAATTTTTCATGTCAGGTTGTCCTTTGGAAATGAGCTCAGTATGGGGTACCTAGTAACTTGGGGGAGTCGTGAAATTATTTTTGTAAGATCCGAAATTTGCTTGGAGTATAGTAGACATTCAAGGAGAAAGATGCAGACCCTGACATGAAATGCTGTCCTATAGTTAAAACCCAATATTGCAAATACTTTTTGCCAAGCCTGCACAATATGTGGCAGTGAACTTAATACAAGATTGCACCCTCATTTTCAGACAGGAGACACAGGCTTTTTCACTTTATCATCTCTTCAAAGCCAGGTTTAGTTGAAAGAAACCTACAGATATTATTGCCTTAATAATCCAGCTTAGTGAAAAGGTTTTTGGTATTTGCCTGGTGGTAGCTTTCCAGGCAGAGGATTTGAACGGATATGCTGATGGAGATGCCCTTTAGTTTAGGGCAGTGCCCTTCCGTCTGGTCAGTGACATGGGTGAGGTGTCAGCGCAGGTGGACAGCTCTGTTTCCTGCATTCTTCCCATATCTCAGGGTTGAATTAAGCCCAGCTGTGAAACAGAGCTCCTTTTCTGATGGTGGATTTGTCCCTGAGACTGTGCTCAGCTGGTGGATGGCAGGAGTAAAAGCTGTTCTTTTGAGGGAGAACACCAGAGGGCACTTAGAGTGTTGTGGGAAGGCTTGTAGCTCGTGTGCAGATCGCTGAGGAAGGCAGGGTTTGCCTTCCTAGGTAATAAACTGAAAGGCTGCTTTCCTGTAGGCTCATCTCCCAATATAGAGAGTGACATCAATTGAAGACTGGGCTGTAAATCATACTGTGCTTGTAAGCTTGTCACGGTGGCTTACTTGTTCCTCAATAATGTAAGACAGTTTCTGTCAAGAGTATTTTGATACCTGACAAACACAACAAATGTGAAGAAAACAGGGCTGGAAGGGGTCCCTGCTGCCCGCAGAGCTGGCAAGTGCAGAGCAATGGGGCTGGGGACAAGGGGCTGATCTCTGTCAGTGTCAGCTCATGGAGTGGGACTGCTGCCCTCCCACATCTTGCTGGACCACCAGTATGTCAGGCTCTTTGGGGAGAAATCTGGAAGACTGGACAAGACCTTTTGGTTTAGAGGTGTTTTCAAAAGAGCAAGTCTATAGCACATGTATGTTTAGTATACATGCAGAGGATTCACCTCTGTCTGTAAGTCACTGCTGGCTACAGCATGGCTTGCTTCACCCTGAGATTTTCTGGAAAACTTGTACTTGCTTCAGTGTGGTGTTTGGTGGACTGAGCCTTTGCAGGTCTCCCTGTGCAACTCATAAACAGCTTCTGGGAAACTTTTGGTTGGCATCAAAGTGGCTGGCCCACCATGCACCAATGCCTTGTGTGTGTTTTCTCTCCCAAAAGCTGAGGTAGAAACAACTTTCTCATTATCAGTGTGTACATCTGAAAAGAATACAGCAGCCCTGTTTCTGGAAAAAACTGAGTCACTATGAATACACCTGGTAACAGGAACATAGGAAGGTCCTTTCTGATTAGGCCAAGAGTCTACTTGGTCCTGTATTTTGTCTCCAAGAGGGACGATAGGTGCTAGTCTAGGTAAGAGTTAAGAACAGAGTAAGTATGTGTATGTATGATCCTTCTCCCAAGTGCTCTCAGCCTCAAACTATCTTCAGCTTAGGGATTTCCTGGTTATGGTTTCTGCCTGTATAATAACCATCAGGAGATGTCTCCTCCAGGTATTTGTTCACTCCCCCTTTGATCCCATGCAAAGTTTCACATCTGCAGCCGTGCATCTGTGACGGTGGCAGCAAGTTTCTGTTGGTTTACTGCCCATTGCTTTCCTCTTGCTTTGTTTAGTGTTTGTTTATCGTCACTAAATTATGCCCCCTGGTCCTTGTGTTGTAAGTGACAGCAAACATCAGATTACTATCTGCTCCCCCAGGCCGTATCTGATTTTGTTGGCCTGTCATTTCCCTCAGGTCATCTCTTCTCCAGGTTGAGAAGTGCTGTTGTAATCACTTGATCCTCATCCAGAAACTATCCTGGACATTTGATTATCATAGTTGCCCTTCTTTGCATTTTTTGGAGTTCAGTAGTATCTTTGCTGAGATGAGAGGACCAAAAGTGCACTGCTAAGTAGTCCACTCTTAAACCATTTTTTTAGCATCTCTTGCATGTACTGGAATGTGTTGTCCAGGTCCTAGTGGAGGACAGTCACATGAAGATGTACTGTTTTATTTAATGGCCAGGATTTCAGGCCCTGCAAGGCACCCTGCCTTTCTATCCTAGAGTCAAGGCCCTGGCTTATCTCATCATGAACAGGCAAAATTCGGGACAAAGTGGAAAAAAAATACACAACAGGGAAGCAATGTAATGGGAAGCATTTTGGTTGAGAGTTTTTAGATTTGAAACAGGAAGAAAATAAGGCTTTTCTCTCTGTATTGCAGGAGGGGTCACAGATATGTGTGGCTTAAAGGATCATCATACAAGCCAAGATAGGAAGTAATATATTGTCAACACCCAACAATCTGTCTTTTTCAAGTTGTTCCAGGAACTAATTATTAGCAAATAGTTTGTTTTAAAAGACAGTCTAAAAATTATTATCAAATAGTTCCATTTTGTATTATTATTCTTCAATGCATTTATTTTGTAATAATGTCCTTTTCAGTCTTTTCTGCCAGTGTGTTCTAGCAACACCATGAGAAATGTTCCAAAATTTTACTTTTCAGTTGCTTTGCACACTGTGGTTCCGTAAGGATTGGTTTTACTTCCAGTTGTACAGGGGAATGTTTATTTTTCAAAAACAGGAAAATGTTTATAACTTGTTTTAAAAGTGTCATGAAAATATTTCTGTTCACATGTTTTTAAACAAGCTGTGTATAATCACCTCCCTTTCCATATCTATGAATTTTTTAATTTAATATAATTTAAATACAAATTATGTTTTGATCCTCAGCCAAGATAATTTCACTGAGGAAAATAACCATCTTTTGTGAATTTTTATGAATTTTGCATTTTATATCTCAATGCCATTGTTTTTAAAAAAAAATTTCTTTTTGAAATTCTATTTGTCACGAGTTCCTATTTTGCTAGCTACGTACCAGTCAGTTTGTTTTTAAATTGCAGTCTAAATTAACATGCAGGCTGAGAAGGAATAGCAGTAATGCATTTTGGCTGCACCACCATCACGGGTTTGTCAGTCAGGACTAATCTAATAGGACATGGTATTCACGTGGAGTTGACCCAGAAAACATTATTCCAATTGTGGGCCCATTTTAAATATCAGCCACAGCTTTTGAAATGAAGGCCTTTCTTGGCTAAGAGGTCTATCAGAAATCAGCACTCGTCTCATCATTCTGCAGCCTGGAGACAAAGCGAGATATTAAAATAAATGAATTCACTGTGCAAGAGAAAATTAAATGTATTTTAAAATACCTATTTGAAAGCTGGGAGTTTTTCCAGTGTGATAACTGTGGGAAAAAATTATCTAGCAAAACTGTCAGAGTGAGAATCAGCTGAAACCTGGAAAGTGCTCAAAAGCTTTCAGCAAACTTCACTTGCTATTTGCTTGGAGGAAGCAGAACCTGACAAGCATCCAGCCAGCAGCCAGCCCGTGCCCATGCTGCAGCTCACTGCTGTCCCTGCTCCAGTACCTCCACAACGAAATGAGGACTGACAAATATCTTCACTTGTAGTCTCTCATGTGACACGTCTGTCCAAACGATGGGCAGGATCCTTTGGAAGGGCAGCCACTGGCATTCTCTGCAGTGACAGAGCAGCCAGGGCAGTTGATGGGCTGGGTCACAGCCCTGAAGGGCAGGGAGTCATCACAACCTCCAATTGCAGCAGCAGCCCTTGGTGCTCCCGCAGGATTGGGCTATACGCGCAGGGTTGGATTCAGGAAGAATATGGTACAAGGAGGGTTTTCCATAAAGGCACCAGGATTTAAGTTTGAGAAGTCAATGAGGAGGATGAAGCTTTACGGCTCAAGGGTTACAAGCATCTTCTCTGGGTGCCCAAACCAGGGTGTCTGACCACTCCAGTCCAGATGAAAAAGAAGGAGAGGATGACCTGGCTCCCTGCTGGTAAATCTCTGCCTAAAATTGGGTGGCATGGAAAGGCCTCTTCAGAGCTGTCTGAGCCTGCCAACATTTGCATTTGATTTGCCTTTGGAGGGATTACTTACAGGAGGAAGATTATACAAACTCTTAAGCATTGGCATGGGGAGGGTCTTAAGCAACCATGAAGTATTCTCAGTATTATTTATTAGCTCTCAACCCCAAGTTTTGGCAGGCAAAGACTTTAGTGTCTGATTAATTAGTTTGCTGCCACCTTCTGTGGAAGTGCTATTACCAATTATAATAGTAACACTTGGATCTTTTGGATCTTTTGGATCTTTTGAATCTTAGCATTTCTTGAGGAAGTTTCTCAAAGCCTGTTACAAAAGAAAGTCAGGGCCATACTGACAATTTCATACATAGTAAAACCTTTGCAGAGAGAGGGATAGTGACTTCGTTGCGTGTCAGCTAGTGGTAGAAATAACTCTCTACTCATGCGTATTGTAATGTACTGTAAGACTTACATAGAAAAATATAAATGCTAAAAGTAGACTTTTAAATTATATCAGAGCTAATTAATTGTTACTTACTATTTATGAGCTAGAAATTAAAATAGGCAGGTTAAATCAGACAGAAGATGTGTGAATGGCCACAAACTTTATAAGAAAACCCTATGATTTGCTAGAAGTGGCACTGCGTTCTCCAGTTCCTGAGGGCATGATTTAAGTCTAATGAAGTCAGCAAGATCTTCAGTTTAGTTCATGGGAGAGGAACTCCCTGGGAAC